GATTTCAACCCAAACTAATCAGAACTGTGCATTATCCCAGAACATCCATGTACTAAGTTTCATTAAAATCTGGTAATTGGTTCTTGAGATATCAGTGGAACAGACACACACACAGACAGCGACGCACCAACCACAAAGACTCCCATTGTGGTCGACCCCTACCCTTGGTGAGTGTGCCACAGACTCAATGGGAAGGCCAATTACACTGGTCGAGATTCATTTGCTAACGTATGCTTTGCACACGGGAGTCAAAAATGTTAAATGAAATGGGAATTTGAAACAACCATACTAGACCTATGTACAGGACAAATCAAGGAGTCATTTATTCACCAAATTTATCTAGACTGACAACACAATCCATGAAAGTCATTTTTATTCAGTTCTCTTTCACATGGTAAAATTTAACAGAAATAAACAAGTATATATAGACAACACAGTGTGCACTAATCACAATCCATTAAGCATATTTTTTATTAAAATATCCCAAACTCATCAGCAAAACTTAAATCAGGGCTAAATTTATTGGAATTCACTTTAACACCAAATCATGTTTTCGTGTAACAATATGCAAATCTTATGCATATGCAAAATATGGGGATCACAAAACTACACATCGAGGGACCAAATTATATTTGATTGTCATCTACAATTTAGTTTCAAATGCACTAAAAATTTAACAAACTCTGTCAAAACGCGAACAATTTTTCTTACCCAAATAAAATGTTGTTTATTAATTTAATCAGATATTTAAACCAAAACCAACTGTAACCAATTTAAAAATGTACACACAAATGTACAACTCAATCTAAAAAATTACAAATATCTTTCGTTTTAAAACATAATTATTATACCCTGCCAAATATATGCACCTTAATGTTAGAAATTCATTAAACTAGCAAAAATAATGTTCTTAAGTTTTATAAAATAAAGGGAAGAGTGAGAACCTACTCACTTGCAAAAGTGGCAGCCATGATACATCAAAGAACATTTTAGTTAAAATACATGTATATGTTTGATCCGATATGCTTAGTTTTACTTTTACTTTTTCCCACGCACATCTTTTTTCTGCGTCTTTATTTTTGACACATGCATGCAATGGTGGGAAATTACCACTATTGTCACCCACATCTCAAAATAGTGAAAATTAAATAATTGTAAGCCAAATTCTGGAATAAATACTAGTAGAATCAACAGGTGGGTGATGTGAGTAAGTTTCATTCACAAAGGCGCACTCAAAGTATTTCACCGTCACATTATTACTTTTACTAACAATTTTAGTGTAAAACATTTCATACTTTTTTCAGGATGATCAGAAAACAGTTTTGATTACAAGCATTTTAAACAGCACATTTGACGATGAATACTGATGGTACTGAAAGCTGCAGAAAATAACACAAAAAGATAAATGGCAGTTTAAAAGATGCAAACATGAAACTTGAATTAATATTAATATTAGAAACTGAGTAAGCAACCATGGATACATATACAGTATCGATGTTCTTGCACAGAAAACAATTACAAGACTAGCACTAAATAAAAAAAGTACCGGTATACAAGTATATTGTCAATTAATGTGTATATAAAGTTTTGATTTGTATAGCTCTTGTGGAAGTATTACATTGAAAGACAGCAAACACAAAGCTTTCCTTTAAAATTAAGGAATTGCCAACATTTCCCACAAACTAACAGTAAGACTAAATAAGAATAAATAAGAATATATCACATTAAAATATTAAATTAATCTAAAAATGAGAGTGGTGCAAGTTTTATACATCAAGTTTTTGGTATTTATTCTTTGGATGAAATATTGAATACATTAATAACACTGATGTGAGGAAAGTATCACGCACAGACAATTAGTTCACACATTTCAAGTCCAGAGGATTGATACAAAACCCTTTCGCTACAATTATCAACTTGTATCACGTTCCACAAAATAGTCCTGATTCAAAAACTGTCCATTTATATCATTTATATACTGTACAGGAATATCAAAATCTGCAGTAAATGCTTTTATTTCTTGAGACAAATTTCTGCGAATTTCAGATGTTGGGAAGAAAACCGCAAAATTTGTTAGCAATGGACAATGATTGAGATCCTCAAGTCTGTAACTTTCTCAACATTTCATCTTCAAGAATACAGTTATAGTACATTGTCATTGATTCCAAATTAACACTGAATTAAGAGAAATACTAGCAACAAGTATTTTGACAGC